TTTTAAAACATTCAAAAAGGCAGAGGGAGGAGGGAGCAGGCCCAGCACCTGTCGCCAGGCCTCCTGTTTTCCTAGAGATGAAGATCTCAGTCTGATTAAGCCTGAAAAGGGGAATTTCTAGCTGTGCCTCTAAGCCCCTGACAGAACTCAGTGAAAAGTGTCCACGGAGTTGCCGGTGGTTCTTGGGTCTCTTGGGGCACAGGGGGTCACAAGGGAATTTTCCTCCTTGCTGCCGCCTTCAGCTACTCAGAACAACCCTGGAGGGGATGGGCACCGGGTGGGTGGAGGCAGGAAACAGGGCGCGGTCCCATGTGGCGAAGGAGGTGCTCCCACCAAGGCATTTGCATCTGGCAGTCCCTCTCTGTTCCCTCTGGGGAAAGCACTTGCCTCCTGCCAGTGAAGGTGGTGTGGGGGAATCGGTGACCCCTATACTGCAATCAGACTCCCTGACCTTTCTGAAAAGCTCCTTTGCTTGAGTATGTTTCCATTAAAAAGTACTGATTTTTTAAAAATTAATAAGCTCCTTTCCTTCTGAAGGTTTTACAATGTATTGTAATCATTAACCATATTAAACTCAAATGGCCAATTGAGACAAACAGTTGAGACCAATCCTCCACCACTGCTTAAGACTCAGTGATGGCAGGTGTCAGAAATAAGATTCATTTAGTTTTTGTTTGTTTTTTTTTGTTTTTGTTTGTTTGTTTGTTTGTTTGTTTTAGCTTTCTGGGCAGACTTGGTGACTTTGCCAGCTCTGGCTTCCTTCTTGTAAATAATTAACTTTAGAATTTGGTCCCTGCTTTAAACCTCTTCGGAACACAATTGTTACAACTTCATACCTACAAATTAATCCCAGTGGCCACTCGGGGCAGTTTGCTCTGTGTCAGAGCACTCAGTCTTAAATAAATTAAATGTGTTTTTTTTATCTTCTCACAGACTTCCACACTTACATGAACAAATAATTATACCCAGGCAGACAAACAAAATATCAAACAAACATCTGTTCTTATACCCTTTCAGTAAATAAGTGCTCTTATAGTCTTGGGATCTGAGCAGATAACGGGAACACTGCCCAAGTCCCCTGATGGGGGCCTCCCTGTCCCACATCCCAGAACAGGATACTCGACTCATGTTTCATCAAAACAGAAATGGCACTCATGTTGGACAAAGGAAACAAGACTAATAGACGTAGCAAACAGATAAATGCCTCATCATACAACCTAGGGAGTTTCTCTGGAGCTCGGTCTGCCTCCCCTAATGAGGGCAGGACTAGGAGGGGTGGCACAGGGAGCCTGGGGCTCAGGAATCAAACCCCTTGAGGGAGGAGGCTTGCAAACGCTGCCACCTCCGCCGCCACTTTTTTGGCTCTACCGCCACCGCTGCAGGTCAGTGGGCAGGACCAGTGTATGTGAAGGAAAAAAAATCAAAACTCCCGGAGTACGCCAAGGACTGTGAGGGGAAAGCCATCCTGGAGTCAGACGCTGATCTGGAAAAAGAGTGCTAGGTCGGGGAGGGACAGGGTACACGTAGAGGGTTATTTCAGGAGAGGCAAAACCCTATGAGGAACCCTGATAAAAAGCTCAGTAATCCAGTCACACAGTCAACGGTTAAACAGGAAGGGAAGAACCACTCAATGGCTTCCAAGAGGATTTCAACAAACCTAACAACAAACTGACAAAACCTTGACAAATCAAAACTCAACAAATAATACACAGAGGGCCCAAATATGACAAAAAGACAAAAAAAAAAAAAAAAAAAAAAAAAAAACAACCAGAAGCCAGGAGTGAGCTCTGAGGTCTCAGGGCACTTCTGGGATGGGGAAGTCTGGCTGCGTCCAGCCCTTCCCACCATCCCCAGGTGACCGCTCCACCAGTAAGCCCGGACTCCCCTCAGGGGGCTTCCAGGACTCCGAGACAAATTTTTAGGGATATGCCAGTGTTCCCTGTCCTCTCACTGGACCCGGAGGGAAGTTCCCCTGGGCTCTGGAACTTCTCCCTCAGGCTGCACAACCAGCCCAGGGGATTGGCCTCCCTTGGCGTCCAGACCAGCGCCCTCTAGTGGTGGATCTCGCTGGGGCCTCCAAATGTTGTAGTGTAACCCCCATCCTACAAAGGACGCCTCAAGAAATTGAATTATGGAGTCATTTATTAAAGGGCAGCTGCAAACAGGGGCTAAAGCTCCAAATCTCGCAGTCCCAAACAGCTGGGCACTTCTGGCTTATATTGGCAGAAAATCACAAAAGTATCAATTACATCTTTGGGTCTGGAATGAGGAACCTGTTTCAAGATTTTACAGAAATGAACCTGAGCGAGTTAGTTACCTAGAGTATCTATGGGAAGAGACTGAACATAAACTGTGCACCTATGGATGAGGACCATGGGGGGTGGGGAAAGGGCAGAGGGTGGGGTGGGAACCTGGTGGAGGGGATCAATGGAGGGGGGGGAAATGAGGAACATTTGTAATAATATGAACAATAAAGGTTTATTTAAAAAAAATAAAAAATTAAAACAAAAAACAAAAATAAAATTAAAATAAAGTATCCACGGATCCCTGTATTGACAGGAACACATTATCTGAAACGGACCACCTGGACAATTTAGAATAATTGTGCTGTCCGGATTCTGGGACTACTGAGTCAACAGGAATGCACTATCTGTAGCCGCTGAGGCCATTTAGGATGATTGAACTGTCTTGGGTCCCCGAGGAATGTGCTTCGATGACCAGTGAGATTACAATCAATGGGATATTCAAATAGTCATCAAGGGAGTATTCAATAATACATAAGTTCAGAAAATCAAAATAACTTTTAAATGAGTACAGAACCCAAAACAGCAAGTTTAAAATATTAAACAGCAATTTTTACTCAAGTATGGTTGCTACCATACTTCAAGCCTAGGCATAGTTACCCACTATAAAATGCCTTTTTTAAATTAAAATGTTTTAATTTAAGACCATGCTTTGTCTCTGAGTTAGCAAGGCCGCCACACAGGCCTTCCCTGAGCCTTTCAGGCGAGCACGTGCCCCTTTCCTCCACAAAGCTGTCCAACCTGCTCTCTGGGGTTTTCCAGGCTTGTTTGTGCTTGGTCCTCCCCTAACCAATCCATGGCCTGGATATCCTGGGGTTCTGCTCCCCATCTAATATCATTCTTTTCCCAGTTTTCCTAGGCTGGACTCTGCCCCTTTATGCCACCACTGTGGCTCCTACAGCGCACGCCCCAGAGTCCTGCTGCTTCATCTTGTTTCTGCTGAGCACCTGCTCACGCCTGCTGCGCCATATTGACTTCCACTGCACAAGTGCAGAGCAAAGGAATTTCGCTGTTGCTTATCCCTCCACTCTGGGACCCTGACCAATGGCTGTTTTTCTCCAGACATTCTTCCTGCCTGGTGAGGACGTGGTTGTTTCTGGGGGAGCCTGTGAATGCTGCTACTTCCTGCTGGCTCAGGCTCACTGTCTGATTCTGCTCACTAGTAGATCAGGCTGAAAGTCTGATTCCATTTGTTCCCTTCATTTCTTCATCCTCACCAGCTGCCTACACTGACATAAGTACTAGCACAGTCTGCCAGAGGGATGTGTGGTAGCCTCTTCATTCTTCACTTTCTGGTAAAGCTTTCTGAAAGAGTTCTCTAAGCAGGGGTTCTTTCCATGAGAAGTGCTATCAACCCAACCCACTAGCACATCTCCAAACTGCTTTTCTGACAGTGTCACCTATCTTCTCTACTTCTTGGTGCTCTCACATGGGCCTTTCTTCTCATCAGTAACCCACATTCACAGAGAACTCCGGTCCATGTGCCTGTAGCCCAGTTTTTAAAGCCATCAAGCTGAGGGCCAGGAAGCTGGGGAGTTATGGATTTATTGATAATTGTGTTATCCTATTCATCAAGAGGACATTTTCTGAGTTCAAGAGGATTACAGCAGAATTTCTTGATTTGGTGCTATTGTGGCTGTGATGGTTGTCCATTCATTGGGTGATGTTGGGGTACTTTTGTTCTCTCTAGTACCAGATGGAAGTTGCAGCTTCTCTCGTATATCACAACTAATGTCTCCCTCCAAACATTGCCAACTGGCTGCAGGGGTGGGTAATTTTGCCCTTGGGTTAGAGAGAAGCACACAGGTGGGTAATTTTGCACTGGGTTAGAGAGAAGCACACAGGTGTACATATGTGCACATGCTCACCCAGTGTGTATTGTCACCATGGCATAGGAACTTTCTTTTGTCTTTGCTTCTTTCTTTGGATTTTTTTCTCCTTTGCTGTTGTTTGTTGGTTTTAGGTTGTTTTGTTTTTTTTTTTTTTAATATTTTTTTATTGATTTCAGAGAGGAAGGGAGGGGGAATTAGAGATAGAAGCATCAATCATCAAGCCCAAAAACTGGGCATTTGCCCTAACTAGGAATCAAAACACGACCTCCTGGTTCATAGGTCAACTCGAAACCACTGAGCCAAGTAGCCAGGGCTGTTGGTTGGTTTTAATCCTAAGAGAAATCTTTGCTTTAATCTTAACTCCCATTTTGGGGGTCTGTCCATGTCACAAAATCTTTCTGAATAGTTGATTATATCTGTTAACTTTATCAACTACCACTATGTACTTAGTACTCTGCTAAGATTTTACATGAAATTTTTACATTTAATTATCAAAATAAGAAGGAGGGCCTATATTCCCATTTTATAGGTTAAAAAAAATGGAAGCACAGGAATATTAAGTCACTGGACTTAGGTTTCGCTGAGAGTTGGGATTCAGACCAATTGTCTGAGCAAGAGCTTGTGTGCCTTCTTATCCTCTGTTCTCCTTTCGGGGGGAGGGACTGACAACATCACTAATGTAGTCCCTCTTAATTTCTGACCTCAGGATATTAACAAATGTGTTGAAATGTGGTCCATGAGTCATAATCATAAACGTGCATTAAGTCATCTGCTATGTGCCATTTATGGAAATGTTGGTTTAATCATCAGGTTTGCCGAAGAGCCAGCACTGACTGTGGACATGTCTTTCTCTTGTCACCACCAGAGTGTCTCTATGTGTTCCCCTGCCACTGGAACTACCGTCCTGACCACTGCATGTATGGTAGCAACTGCAAAAGGGCGGAGCTCGAAGGGGTGTCTGTTCTACATGGGAACCGTGGCGTCTACCATGATGATAAGCAGCCGACTTTCAAAGCCCTCTATGAAGCCATACGGGACGTAAGTGTGTTCTTGCTACCACTCAGCAGGCGCACGCTTACAGCACGAAGAGCGTGGGAACTTTAGTCATTCTCTTCTTTGAAGGCCAAATACTTCCCCACAGCTTTGAACTATACCAGTTTTCCCCAAGCTAAGAAACTAATACTATACCATACCATACTATACTGACCATACCATACCATGCCATACCATACTATACTGACCATACCATACCATACCATACCATACCATACCATACTGACTATACTATACTATACTATACTATACTATACTATACTATACTATTCTGACTATACTATACCATACCATACCATACCATACCATACTGACCATACCATACCATACCATACCATACCATACCATACCATACTGACTATTCTATACTATACTATACTATTCTGACTATACTATACTATAGTATTCTGACTATACTATACTATACTGACTATACTATACTGACTATACTATACTATACTATACTGACTATACTATACTGACTATAGTATACTGACTATACTATGCTATACTATACTATTCTGACTATACTATACTGACTATACTATACTATACTATACTGACTATACTATACTGACTATAGTATACTGACTATACTATGCTATACTATACTATTCTGACTATACTATACTATACTATTCTGACTATACTATACTATATAATACTATACTAACTATACTATACTGACTATACTATACTATACTATACTATTCTGACTATACTATACTGACTATACTATATACTATACTATACTGACTATACTATACTGACTATACTATACTATACTATACTGACTATAGTATACTGACTATACTATGCTATACTATACTATTCTGACTATACTATACTATACACTATTCTGACTATACTATACTATACAATACTATACTGACTATACTATACTGACTAGACTGTACTATATTATACTGACTATACTATACTATACTATACTGACTATACTATATATACTATACTATATATACTATACTGACTATACTATACTATACTATTCTGACTATACTATACTATACTGACTATACTATATATACTATACTGACTATACTATACTATACTATACTATTCTGACTATACTATACTATACTGACTATACTATACTATACTATACTATTCTGACTATACTATACTATACTGACTATACTATACTATACTATACTATTCTGACTATACTATACTATACTGACTATACTATACTATACTATCCTGACTATACTATACTATACTATACTATACTATACTATTCTGATTATACTATACTATAGACTATATTTTATTCACTCTTTAATTAGTATTTCCAAGTAAACCACACACTTTTGTTCCCATAAATTCACTAATGGAGAAAATTGTATATCAGAAAGAGCCACCCTGTGCCAGTTGCCATAGTAGAGGGTAATGGGGTCAGGGTAAAGATAACACAGAACAAAATTATATTCATTTCAAACTACTAGTAAGTGTGTTGCCTGGGTGCCAGTTCCATCCTGTTCAGCAATTGGGTGTGGAGTGGTCAGTTAGGAAAAGAAATAGCCCAGTAGTTTTGTATGTGCTGCATCAGTGCATGCAGAGGGCAAGGGAGCCCAGCACCTCTTGCTCAGAGCCCCCCACCACCCCACCAAGTGCTGAGCAAGGGCGAAGGAATCAGAACAAACGCAAGAATCATCTCAATGCCTGCAGCTTTATGGGCCCCAACCACAGGGAGGCTGGATGAGAAGGAAAGGTGGGAAGAGGGAAAGGTTACCCCTGTCCTCCCCTCCAAGAAGGCCTCCACAGGGAGGTGCCGGGACAGGAGTGATACATGGATATGAGCTAGAGGGTAGGCACTGAGTGTGACTACAACTCCCTCAAGAAAATGACGGTGCATTGTTCACTCCCACATCTGGTGTGGGGAGGACAGCCTTGCTCCAGAGGCCTCCCAAGAAGCCCGAAAATCACCTACAGTTGAGTCGGAGATCACACACAGGGTTTTGCCTTGAACTGCACTCCTCAAGGCCTGAGGCCCCTCTTACTACCGTGAAGAGATTGGTTAGCAAATGCTGGGGAGGACTTCTAGATCCATGTGAATTATCTTTTGAAATAAGTGGCATGATTGAAATGACCGTATTTTGAGGTCCACCACCTGAAATCACGTGAAGTACTGCCTGCTAGTACAGACTCCCATATCCGTGGGGAGCATGCTGCAAGGCCTCAGTGGATGGCTGGAACTGCGGGTGGTGCTGAGCCCTGTGTATACTATGTTTTTTCCTTACAGCATTCCCCCCTTATTTGTGGATTTGCTTCCCATGGTTGCACTGACTGGCAATCAATGACAACCTAAAAATATTAAATAAAGAATTCCAGAAATAAAGTTTTAAATTGCACACTTCCCTAAGTAATGTGATGACATCATAATGCCACCACTCTTAAGTCATTTAGTAGCTATCTTAGTTATTAGAGTACATTGTTAAAATGGATCTATTTTACTACTAGTTATTGTTAATTTCTAATTATGCCTAATATATAAATGAAAATGTTTTATTGTTAACAGTATTACAGATGTCCCCCATTGCCCCTCACTTTGACCTCCTCCACCCTGCTACTACCCCACCCCAGGCCTTCACCATACTATTGGCTGCACCCATGAGCTATTCATACATGCATACCAATTCTCTTTCTGTTCCCCCAAACCCTTCCACTTGGGCTGTTTCCAGATCTCAGCTATTGTAAATTGTGCTGCTGTGAACATAGAGGTGCATACATTCTTTCTGATTGGTGTTTTGGGATTCTTGAGATATATTCCTAGAAGTGGGATTGCTGGGTCAAATGAAAGTTCCACATTTAATTTTTTTATGAACTTCCATACTGTTTTCTATAATGGCTGCAGCAGTCTGCATTCCCACCAGCAATGTATTAGGGTTTCCTTTTCTCCACGTCCTTTCCAGCACTTGTCATTGTTGATTTGTTGATGATAGCCATTCTGACAGGTGTGAGGTGATACCTCATTGTGCTTTTAATTTCCATCTCTCAGTTGATTAGTGATTTTGAGCATTTTTCCATAATGTCTCTTGGCCATCTGTATGTCCACTTTGGAGAAGTGTTTATTCAAGATCTGTACTCAATTTTTAAATTGGATTGTTTGTCTTCTTGGTGTGGAGTTATATACAAACTTTGTTATTTTTTTAATTAACCCGTTTCAAGATGTATCATTGGCAAATATGTTCTCCCATACAGTGTGCTTCTTTGTTGCTTTGCTGATGGTTTTGTGGGGGATTCTGGTTTGTTTGTTCTCAGTTCTTGTGTGTGTGTTTTATTTGTTTCCTGTGCAGAAGCTATTTACTTTGATGAAATCCCACTTGTTTATTTTTCCTGTTTCTCTTGACCTAGGAGATGGGTTGGCAGAAATTCTGCCATGTGAGATGTCTGAGATTTTTATTTTTATTTATTTATTTATTTATTTATTTATTTATTTATTTATTTATTTATTTATTTATTTATTTTTAAATATATTTTATTGATTTTTCTTACAGAGAGGAAGGGAGAGGGATAGAGAGCTAGAAACGTCGATGAGAAAGAAACATCGACCAGCTGCTTCTTGCACACCCACTACCGGGGATGTGCCCACAACCAATGCACATGCCCTTGACCGGAATCGAACCTGGGACCTTTCAGTCCATAGACCAACGCTCTACCGCTGAGCCAAATTGGTTTCGGCTATTTTTATTTTATTAATTTATGTATGTATGTATGTATGTATGTATGTATGTATGTATTTTACCTTTCTACTTCAGTGCCAATGAGTTGACATTTTTTTGGGGTGTGTGTGTGTGTGTGTTTGTCATTTATTCATTTATTTATTTATTTATTTATCTATATTAAGGTATTATATGTGTACATATCTTTCCATTGCTTCCCCACTCCCCTAAATGCCCTCCCCCCCCAAAGTTTTCCGTCCATTGGTTATGCTTATATGCATGTATACAAGTCCTTTGGTTGATCTTTTATCTCCCCCATAAATCCCTATCCTTCCCACTGTAATTTGACAGTCTGTTTGTTGCTTTACTGTCTCTGTATCTATCTTTTTGTTCATCAGTTTATAAAGTTCTTTATTATCAATAAATGAGTGAGGTCATGTGGTGTTTCTCTTTCATTGACTGGCTTATTTCACTCAGCATGATGTTCTCCAATTCCATCCAGGTTGCTGCAAATGATAAGAATTCCTTCTTTTTATGGCAGCATAGTATTCCATTGTGTAGATGTACCGTAATTTTTGGTCCAATCATCTGCTGATGGGCACCTAGGCAGTTTCCAATTCCCAGCTATTGTAAGTTGTGCTGCTATGAACATAGGGGTGCATATTTCCTTTCTGATTTGTGTTTCTAGTTTCTTAGGATATATTCCTAGGAGTGGGATTACTGAGTCGAATGGGAGTCCCATTTTCAGTTTTTTGAGGAAACTCCATACTGTTCTCCACAGTGACTGCACCAATGCTGGAACCTGCCAGCAACGAACAGTACCTGAATGAGGGGTTGAGGATAAGAAAAAGACAGACAAGAACAGATGGGGTCGGGAGGGCTCAGACCTGAGGTCTGCCGCTTTGAATTTTATTTTTCCAACTTTAAATACAATTCTGAAGGAGGAAATATTTATTTCAGGCAATCGTGCAGGTGACCGTTTCTGCTAACATGATGAGTTCCTGTACAGATAAGTTCCTTCAGCACCTGACCTTTTACAACCATCTATCTTCCTCTTAACTCGAGGCTCCTTCTGCGTCAGCGGGCTCCTATCAATTCTTTTACCCTAAAGCAAAGACATCTGCAGTTAGCAGCGTTCCTAGGGGTAGTGGTAATTTTCCACTGAGGTTATTGAAAAGGGGGGCACATGGAGAGCTGTGTCCTACACCCACGCCTGCATTCAGGCATATAGGACACCAGCATTCAGGGCAGCTCCCCACACACAGTCAGCATTCCCACCAGCAGTGATGTCTGAGATTTTAA